TCTTTAAGGAATCCCAGCCTAATATAAACTATTTTAGGTCCCTCATGTGGCAGAGGATGGAAAAGAAAGGAGAGAAAGCAGAAGTAAATGAAGAAAACAGAATCCAGTCAACTGAGAAGAAAAAAACTTTTGCTCAGAAAAAGGGGGGAGGGCTGGGCACAGTGGCTAATGCTTATAATCCCAACACTTTGGGAGGCTGAGGCAGGTGGATCACCTGAGGTCAGGAGTTCAAGACCAGCCTGGGCCAACATGGCAAAATCCCATCTCTACTAAAAATACAAAAGTTAGCCAGGTGTGGTGGGTACATGCCTGTAATCCCAGCTACGTGGGAGACTGAGGCAGGAGAATTGCTTGAACCCAGGAGGTGGAGGTTGCAGTGGCCAAGATCATGCCACTGCACTCCAGCCTGGGCAACAGAGTAAGACTTCATCTCAAAAAAAAAGAGAGAGAGAGAGATGGTCCTAGGAGAGAAAAAAAGAAAGAAAAACATAAAGGCCTCTTAAATAACAAACACATGCATAGGTACAGACACACATCTTGGATGTGGGAGCTTTTAATTAAGCTGACTTTAACCATTGAGTTCCTTTAAAAAAAAAAAAAACTCTTTAAACCTGATTTCCATATTTCATGAGCTAGGACAAATTGCCACTATTTCAGAAGTGCCAAGTATCAAACCACAAAGGGCTTGATTTAGGAACCAAAACCCAGGCTGTCATGGTGGAAAAAGCAGGACCTTAGCTATTGAACTGCAGCATGGGGTGACAGCATTACTTTCAGTTTGACCTGGCTAGCAAAAAGGTGGCCTTGTCATGTAAATAAAGCCCCTTAAATAGTCAAAATCAGAAGTCTTTCCTTTTTTTTCCACCCTTCTTTTGCTGGCTGTTTTTCTTCCCCCACCATACCGCCGTGCCACACCACCTTTTTTGTGTGTGCCTATGAGAATTTAGCTACTTCAGAGACCTTGTTTCCCATAATTTGGAACTTTCCTTCGGATTTGATCAAGTCGGATAGAGTTGGTCAAACCCAATGGGAAAAAGACTGAAACAACAACAAAAACAGAAACAACAACAACAACAACAACAAAACCAGTTAAACCAAATGATTGCACAACTTCTGTGATAACTGTGCACTCTAATGGTAAGGAGACATTAAGACCAGCTGGTTGTTAATTTTAGCTTGAGCCAAGACAAACGTCAATTCAGTTAGTTATCTAGGGGTGAGTCTCAGGCCGAAGACTGCTCTCTATCATCCTAGTGAAGCAACCTTGTTGTCTGGGGCGATACCCAAGGTTCATTGTCTCATGTGGAGGAAATAAAGGATGTGGACACACAAGGAGTGAGGGTAAAAGTGGAGGATTTATAGGCAAAACAAAGAAAAGAGCTCTCTCCTGCAGAAAGAGGGGTCCCAAATGGGTTTCTCCTTCCTCAGTGAAATATAGGAGGTTTTATAGATGAGCTTGAGGAGGTGGTGTTTGATTTTCATAGGGCATGAAGGATTGGTTGGACCAGGTGTGCCATTTGCATAGGGTGCAAAAAGCTGGCTGCCGACCCTAATCTTTTATTATGCAGATGGATTCTCTACCTAGCTGGCACCATGCTGCCTGTTTCTTTACTGTACGCATGGTGACAGAAAGGAAGATGGAACCTCCATGTTGAACATACCTGGCCCCCAGGTAGCCATTTTGTATTGGCACAGCTGCCAGCATTAACCTGTGCAAGCTTCTAGCTTGCTTATCTATGTTTGCAGCTCTATTCTTCAGGAAAAAAAAAAGTTTCTCTGGCTGCTTTCTGTTAGAAGGGAAGCCTTGACAAGGATTTTTACCCTCACCATCTGCCTAAATAACTTCCATCTCCTGTGTCACTAGGTGCAGGAAAAAACAAAATCAAAAACAAAAAACCCTCATCTTTCCTGTTGAAAGGGAAACTCCATAAAGGAGTATTTGTCTCCCGTCATCATGGAAGCAGGAAAAACTTGCCTTCCTTGTGTTGGAAGCAAGTAAAACTCCAAAAAAAAAGGAGTTGTACAGCAAAATAAACTTTAGATCTCAACCAAAGTTAGGGAGATAAGTAATTCTCTGGAATGGGTGCTTCTAGGCCTCAGCAAATTGTCCTATTGGTTTGAGTCATAAAGATAGCTCAAGGTTGATCCAAGCACTGATAGGAGATTTGTCAAAGGTTAGGGGCACCTCCATTCAGAATCCCTCTGTGGTTACTAAAATGTGAACCCTGAAAATCTGAGATCTCAGTTAATTTAGAAGGTTTATTTTGCTAGTGTTGAGGATGCATACCCATGACACAGCCTCAGAAGGTCCTGAAGACATGTGACCAAGGTGGTCACAACACAGTTTGGTTTTATACATTTTAGGGGGACATGAGACACCAATCATATGTCAGATGAACATTGGTTTGGTCTGAAAGGCAGGACAACTCAAGACGGGAAGGAGGCTTCGAGGTCAAAGGGTAGATCAAAGATAAATGGTTGCATTATTTTGGGTTTCTGAATAGCCTCTCCAAAGGAGGTAATCAGATATGCATTTATCTCACTGAGCAGATGTATGACTTTGGATAGAATGGGAGGCAGGTTTGCCCTAAGCAGTTCACACCTTGACTTTTCCCTTTTGCTTAGTGATTTTGGGGCCCTGAGATATTTTTCTTTCACGATTGGAATGAGTATGTTGTGATCATTATCTTGATGACAAACATTTCATCCCAAGAGTTGTTGACACATGATGAATGTGCTGTGTATACGTAATCTTAATGAAATCCCAAGGAAAATATTAATTTTAACACTAATGATGATAAAAGGGCATTGTAGTCACATAGTGTTCTTACTCCCAGGGGCACAAAGCTCTTCACAATTAATTATTTCAGTCATTCTCTCAGCAGTCCCAAGAGGTGGGTGGCTGAGTGTTTCCTCTTAGGAAGAAAAAAGAAAAGCAAAAAGGTTACTAATTGGATTTTCTTCTGTTCCACATTCCATGTTCTAGAACTGAGTAGCTACCTTATAAAGACGATCTGTACATCCACTGTGAAATGGAGTTTCAAAATCACAAGCTTCTTTCACACATGAACACAAGAGTAGAAGCACATATGGAAGAGTAAAGTGGAAGGGGATTTGGATGATGGTTTGGCAAGATGCTGTAAGGGGATTAGGCAAGGCTGCTAAAGAGAAACAGGAAATGGCTGCGTTAGTGCTTCGGACCTCCATTAAAAGTAGTAGTTCATGCTGTTGAAGGTTTGTTGTTGAAAATATCTTCCTGAGGCACCTGTACATTGTGCTTATTCTTCCCACAACATTGTACCAAGACACTGTCAAGCCAGAGGGCCACTGGGCCTTTCTCACCCTGCTGTAATGTACTGATAACTGGGGGCTCTGCAGAAGGACAAGAGAAAGGTGAGATGTTCATAATTCTCAGTAGCACCTTTTAGCTGGTTTCATGCTCCCTTGATCCCCCATTTCTCTACCAGGTCAGCTTTCCACATGCTTTTGCTTTCTCAGAAACAGAGCCCGTGTGTGGACACATCTTGTCCTGGGAGCAGGGAAACAGTACAACTCAACCTCTCTTTTTATCTAGTGGTTAGCTCATTCCTCTCCTTCCTTTCACAAATACCATTTGGTCTTCTCCAGTAGTCTTTCATCGTTTTAGTCCTGTTTCTTTGGTTAGACGACAAGCTCTTTGGCTGAATGTTCAGGTCAGGTGTTTTTCACTCCTTTTAATTTCCCCTACATAGCCCTCAGCACTGGGGCATTTAGTTGCACAGTAAATACTTTTGGTTGATCTGTTTGCCACTCGTAATTATAAACAGACATTGGCTGTACATATTGACTGTGCCATTTTCACTGTTTTTTTTTTCTTTTTCTTTCATTAAATAAAGGCTTAGCTGTCATCACTTTGAGTTTGTCCTCTTCAGTTTTCCCTAAAGTTACCCTGAAAGGGGAGGCCTTTAAAATGCAGTGGATTGTGCTTAAGTTGAGCAGTGTATCCAGGGAGGGGAATAATTACAAGGTTTGAAAACCTCATCAGGTGGCTGGCTTCTGTAGCAGGACTAAAAGACTGCTTTCCTAAATTGAAAACAGCTGGGCCCGTGTGCTAGCAAGTATAAAAGAGGTGGCGGTGGTGCTCTGTGTCCTAAAGAAATCTGTGCCCTCTGGAGCCTGTGGAGCTGAAGCCGAAGGTAGTCATCCTCATTGGTGTTGTGGTGGGTGAGTCCCCTGAGCTGGTCCTCTAGAGGCCCGTTTCTATTGTTTGGTAGAAATTGTGGTGGCTGCATCAAAATGTTAGTTACTAATTTATCATGTCAATGGTAGTAAGGTATTTTGTCCTTCAAATAAATTCTACTTGTTACCTATGTAAGAGACATAGCTAAGGCTTGGTGTATCTTTTCAGAGTTATTTTGAAGGCTGCCAGCTTTGCTTGTATATGGTGTGGTTCTCTGAATATAAAAGGAAAAACTGAGGCTGTGTCATTTTAAGTATCTTGAATGTGTTATACTTGAACCTGTTCTTAAAAGTGTTCACTTAAAAAGGCTTCTTTTTTTAACTAGAAAATTGACTATTTTGACAAATGCAGAGAGTAACAATTATTCAGTGCCTGTAAGCAACTTACCAGTTTTTATTCTTTCTTTATGGCTCATAGAAAATACAGTCTTAGGAAAGCTTGATATGACTTCTAGGTAGTTCCTAGCTTATTATGACTTCATGGTTAGCAACAGATGATAGCGTCTGATGAAGTGTTTGCAATGTTGGGTCCTGATTTTTAAGGAAATTGTTAAAATGTTCCTATTTCTACTGATACTAGTTAAAAAGAGAGGAATTCCAAGATAAAGCAGTATTTTGTAAAAAAAAAAACTTGATCTCAGCAGCTTTAAGTAGGTTCTGATGTTATGTTTATAAAGCAAATGGCTTTGGTATTAGTTTCCTTATTTTGAGAATGTTTTTGTTTTGGATGGTTGACAATTGGACAAGCAAAGTTTCTGAACATAATTTTGTTTTGCTTTTAGGTGGGATAGTAACATCTTTTTGGGGGAAGAGTTGGCTTCCTTTCTTGAAAGTGCTGAAGGTACAGCAGATAGCTGCATGAAAGGAACAGTAACTGGATGCCTACCTTCTACATTTTCTGTTAGGAAACAGAATCCATTGTAAGAGTCCATGTTGATCTTGGAAATAGAAGAATTGAAAAATAGCTAAATTTCTACAAAGAACAAGAACTTGACCATCTCCTTTTTGATTTGAAGACCAGGGGACAATGGATATCATAGAGACAGCAAAACTTGAAGAACATTTGGAAAATCAAACCAATGATGCTACGAACACTTACACGAGACCCGCTGAACCTGTTGAAGAAGAAAACAAAAATGGCAATGGTAAACCCAAGAGCTTATCCAGTGGGCTGCGAAAAGGCACCAAAAAGTACCCAGACTATATCCAAATTGCTATGCCCACTGAATCGAGGAACAAATTTCCACTCGAGTGGTGGAAAACAGGCATTGCCTTCATCTATGCGGCTTTCAACCTTGTCTTGACAACTGTCATGATCACAGTTGTACATGAGAGGGTCCCTCCCAAGGAGCTTAGCCCTCCACTCCCAGACAAGTTTTTTGACTACATTGATAGGGTAAAATGGGCATTTTCTGTATCAGAAATAAATGGAATTGTATTATTTGGATTATGGATCACCCAGTGGCTGTTTCTGAGATACAAGTAAGTAAATCTAATATGTGTCGGGGATTTGCCATTGATTTGCTTTTCAGTGAATAGATGGGTAATTGAGATTGTTTTTCCATTTTCTCCAGTAAATTCAGTCTTATCCAAACATTTGATGATAAAAAAGCAGTAGAAAGCTCTACCACACTGAATAAACTAAGTCACTATTCAGTAAGCGTTTGTTGAGTAACTGTGTATGAAAGTGGCAGTGTACAGCAGTACTGTGGTGGGTGACTCAGAGTTTATGAATTTAAGGTGCCGTTCCTGACTTCCAGCAACTTGGTGCTATGGTATTTGTATGATAAATTGAGAGGCTTGGAAAGGAATAACACTCACTTATGTCATGCTTATGTTATTTCAGGCTCTTGACAGGTGGGAAAAGGAATAGGTTGAGAAACTTTTTTCTCCATTACTCATAATGTGATGTCTGTATTGGTGTAGAGTCAATAGTCTGCTGTAAGGTTTGCCTGGATTCGGTTCTCAGATTTTACATTTCTGTGGGGTTGGGGGTGTGGGTGTGGTTTCAGTTTGCTGTTTGTTTGCTGTCTGTTACAGGAATTTAAGAAACCAAGTTTAGAACAGTATCCATGTGGTTTTGATTTTTAGATTTCTAAAGTAAACTTGCCCTCTGATTTCCTTTGGGCACCACAAAGGAGCTCATGGATCACTGGGTTCAGCCTCTTTATTTTTGGAATGATAGGGAATCAAGGAGAAATAAGCCAGGTACTTTTGCTTTGAAGACACTTAATAATTGGACATAGCCCTGAAGTGGTTATTTCTGCTTCTCTGTGTGAATTCTGACTTCTAGTCCATAAAAATGAAGGCTCCTTATTCCAAGGGGCCTCTCATTCATCATTTAGACATTCGTTTTCTACTGGAATGCTAGTGATCAAATCACTAAAATATGATTTTGATCAAAACACTGACCATAATACGGAATTTAAAAATGTAATGTATGCTAACTTGGCTACAATCTGAAGATTCCAAGTCAAATAGGATTTCAATATTAATGCCAGAAGATCTTTAGAAGAGAGAATGTATTCTGTATCATTTTTCAGTTGGTAACACTTTTCATTACATGATCAGTTATAGAACTCTAGCATTGCTACTGTTTTGTGATTACATTAATTCAGTCTGTCTTTGTTGAAGAGTTCCCCAAATGCAACTTTGCAGTCTTAAAACCTTATTCCACAAACTGCAGTCATTCCTAGGCATTTTCCTTAATATAACGCTTCATATGTTTCCTTGGCATACTTACGTAGTAGATCTAGCTGAGTTGTCTTTTACTTAGTAGAAGTAACCTGCTTCTGAAATTGTTAAAGAATGCTTTATGCTAAAAGCAAAGAATGTATTTATGAACTTTAGTGTTTTTCTTTTTAGTGTCTGGAAATTGACACAATATAAGAGAGCCTGCTAAGGCTACAGATATTTGCTTTCTCCTTTATTTAGAGCAAAGTTTTATTCATATATGTGTGAAAAGAGAAATTGTCCAGGGTCTGGTAAGTATCTGGACTCCACCCTGAAGTACAGTCTTTCCCTCAGTTCATATTTTGATCTAGATGCTTTTTGAATTTTCATTAGATAGTTATTGTTAACTGCCTTTACTTAACCACCTTAGATTTCAACATGTCAAAACACACAGTCACATAGCCAGACCATACATTTTCATGATATCCACTATTTCAGTCACAATTCACACACATTTGCCTTTTTATGTTTGAAGTAGAATTGGAGCCTACATTTTAGTAACTAGTGGAATAATGTTTATAACCTGTTTTGAACATCCCAGCTGAATGAGAAATCTTGCTTGTTTTCTCTCTCTTGTAAAAGCACGTTTCAAAGCTATGGGAAAAATCATTAGCAATAGTTCTTTTTCTAAATAAGGCTGTAGAGTACATCTTTACCTTCTAAGTTAGCTTTCAGTTCTGAGTACAGCTGAACTCAGAATGCTGGAATGAATGTAATTGACATAATAATTTCTGCTTATTCACCTTGTCTAACAGCATGGAGCACAATTCAAAACAGCACTCTTTTGGAACCTGGGGTTGAATCAAAGGCTGAATCAGTTTTCCCTTAACCAGGGGGAGAAACTCAGCACTGTTTATTACCTACTTCTTTTCAGTACGGGGAAAGGCAGGGGTAGAATAGGAAGCCTTTAAGGAAATGCCTTGGGATAATCAATGCTCTCATCTACGTCTAGGTGGTGTTCCCTTCTATTTTTTTTTTTGACCCCAGAAACCCTGAAATATACTTAAAATAGCTATTGGAAACAGACAGTTAAAATATATATTTATACATAGTTCTTCAAATTAGAAGTTCCAAGTGTTACCTGAATTAGACCTTTATTCATGTCAGCACCACAATCTTAGGGAAAACTTAAAATATGCCACATTACCTGAAACTGCCTGTTTTTCCAGAAGTCTTTGATCACTACCAGTCTTAAAAGCTTGAGAGCTCTGAAAATGAAAGACCTAGAGTCATATGTTTTATGTACTAAGGAAGTTACACCTAGCAAGTCTAGGGGCTTTATATGGAGTCTCACTCATCTCTTAATCCCAGAGCCCAGAGCTTATAGGCCTCACTATATAACAGAAAGGGAGTTGTCCTGTTCAGCTGGACTGAGGACATTCAGACCCATGATGCCCATTCACATACACCCATGAGGCTGTGGTGCAATGGCAGAGCCCTTCCGTTTGGAAGACAGGATCCTCAGTCATCTACTCGGAAGCCTGCGTTAGGCTGAGGACCCAGGTCATGAAGCACAGAGACTAATGTTAATTAAGACAGCTTTCTTCCCACAGAAATATAAAGTGAAAAAGGACTTGTGGGAATTTTTTTGCCCTTTTATTGATCAAGATTAAATAAAATAAATCAGTCAGCTTACAACTTCACTATTAAATGTAATTAACTATATGAGGACACTTTGAACATTTTCAAGATAGAGTTTTTGAAAATCTATTTAGTCATAGAGAAAATAGTTCATGCCTGTGTTGTCAAAATACCTTCAGATGGTCCTCAAATAAACCCTGTTTATATACCATGGGTTAGATGTGTTGTCACATTTCCCTATGTGTCCAATTATGTAATGTCACCTTGGCTCATTAGTTAATTCCTCTGTTACTGTGGCTTGCTTATTCCTTTCATATGTTCTCAAGAGAGGTTTTTATTAATGCAGTGAGTTGACTGAAAATACAGACAGCTTCATTGAATTCTCTGGCAAACAGCAACTTTGAGGAGAGGTGATTTATGTAGATTCTTCCTCACTTTAGTTCCCCCACTACACACACACACACACACACACACATACACATGTGTCCTTTGGAAGCTAAACCACCTAGATTTATTGGAGTATGTGAATCTTCATTTCTGAAAACTGTGGTGCAATCTCTCCATGGAACTGTGGGGATGGGCAACTCACAAATAAGCCTTTAAACTCTGTGAAACTGTGGTTTGTTTGTTAATGCCATTCTGTACTGATTATTCTTTATCCTGTTAAACATTGTTTTATTTTGCATTAGGAATAAAAATAAACTGTAAACTTGTTTTTCCCCATCCATATTTTTTCCTTTAGGTCAATAGTGGGGCGCAGATTCTTTTTTATTATTGGAACTTTATACCTGTATCGCTGCATTACAATGTATGTTACTACTCTACCTGTGCCTGGAATGCATTTCCAGTGTGCTCCAAAGGTAAGTACCTCCAAATTACCACTTAGAAGGAATCAGGAAAACAGCTATTGAACACCTACCCTCCATTATACATTCTTTTAGACACTTCTTACGTGTTAACTGAAATTTAGCATCTTTCCTATTTTCTATTTAGATTTGAGGGGAAGAAATTAAAATGTATTTATAAAATATATATCTTTTGTGCTAAAAAAATTTATTGTCTACTAACTGAAAATTACCATCAGGGGTTCACCTCTGCTTTTTCACCTTCTCATTTACTTATTCATTAATGTATTCATTCTACAAGCATTAAGCTATGTACCAGGGATTTTGGTAACCAAAACAAAGTCCCTCTTCTGGAGCTTATGTTCTACTGAGGGATGACAAATTATAAACAAATTCATAATTTGTCACATGATGATAAGTCAGTGATTGTCAGATGGAAAACAGCAGAGCTGAGTAAGGAGAAAGGGTGCTTGAGGGTAGGAACTATTTGATATAGAGGTCAGGAAGGGCTTCTTTAATAACAAAGCATTTGGGCAGGAACCAAGACAAGAAAGTGAGCCATGTGGGTGAGATGAGAGCTCCAGGATAAAACATTGCTTATTTACACTGGGTTAAAGGAAGAGTCGGGAGGCCAGTGTGTCTGAGTGGAGTTGTGAAGGGTGGAGGTATGCAGACCACAGGTCATATAGAGTCTTGCAGCCCAGTATGGGAACTTCAGCCTTAGTGGTGGCAGTGGAAATAATAAGTTGTTCAGGTCAGGATATAAGATATGCTAATAAGTTGGATATGGGTTTGAGAGAAAGAAGTCAAGGATGACCCCAAGGTTTTTAGCAGCTGGAAAGCTAGAGTGGCCTTTGACTGAGATAGTTTGTGAGAATATTTTCTGAAACTGTCCTAAGCAGGAATTACAGTTTCTCCAGGTTGAGTTCTTGAGAGAACTGTAATCATCTCAGACTCCAGTGCACCTTGGTTTATAAAATGGAAAATTACAAATCATGTGCTTTCTGGACAAAGGAATGAAGTCTAAAATCATATTTTACTGAACACTAACCAGATGTCTGAGGTGAAAGAAAAATAGAGCTTCTCTGAAGACGTCCACAGTCTCCCTCACCAAATATAGGTGTGGTTTGGAGAAGCTATACTTTTCCAAAGCCATCAAAGCAGAAAATATCTGTAATTAAAACAGTGTACATATTGAATTTAAACACTGGCTGATTTTTAGTGAAGCTAATTTAAGGCATGGTAGAAGTTCAGAAGTGTAATAAACACTTCTAAGGGGCGATTGCAATGTGTTAAATGGAGAAATGGCCACAGAAAGGAAGGCAAGCCCATCATAGTAATGTCTGAGGTTTGCAGGGATGAATTGCTATGATTACAGAAAGAAAGCAAATTAAAGATTGTCCTTCGTGGAAGAGTTGCAACCTTAGAAGCCACATCAGTGCCAGTGGATAGCCAAGCTACAAATAGTCATAGTGAAACCTCTGGTAACATCTTTACTAATCATCTCCCAGGTTTACTTGTCAGGACCTCTTCCTGAAGCATAAGCAATCCATACATGCCTGAATCATGGTTCAGTAAAACAAATACAAATGACTTAGTTTGACTAGAGGTGAGGTGGTGTTACAGAACAGGCGTCCGAGTATGTTCTAAATTTAGTTCATCTGCTGGCTTTGAGTGCTGCTTAGATTTTTATGGTTATAAAACTATTAGATAATCTAATTGTGTCCTGTGTTGCTGACTCTATAGAATATCCTTCATGACTCTAAGCAATGGCAGAACTTTGTATGTGGAAGCCACTTACTATGGAAGTGTCATATCTGTTATAGTAATTGATGCCTGTACAACTTGTAATTCACCAGGCCGTGCTCACAAGAGCCATCACAGTGAAAGCTTTGCTTTCATAGTTTTCCAGTTGCCTTCTCCCTTATGTATCCTATGGTTCACTTTTAACCTTTTGCTTACAATTTGCTTCAGCCACCAACCCAAGCTTTAATTTACAGTCAGACAATTTGTGTTCTTCAAAGTATGTTTAGATAAGTGTTGGCCCAGTTATTATAAAATGATTACATGAAATGATTTAGATTTGCAAACCTATTTTTTCCACATATAATAATGTTTGGCTGGGTCAGCAATATTCCCCTTCCTTGAGAAAGCTTTATGGGGCTAGCTGTCCCTCACCTTGGCCATAGGTGGCCAAAGACTTTTTTTTTTTTGAGACGAAGTTTCGCTCTTGTTGCCCAAGCTGGAGTGCAATGGTGGAATGGTGGCTCACCGCAACTTCCACCTCGTGGGTTCAAGCGATTCTCCTGCCTCAGCCTCCTGAGTAGCTGGGATTACAGGCATGTTACAGGCATGCACCACCATGCCTGGCTAATTCTTCTTTTTTTTTTTTCATAGTAGAGACGGGGTTTCTCCATGTTGATCAGGCTGGTCTTGAACTCCTGACCTCAGGTACTTACCTTTTTAATGGAAGAAACGGTGTAGATGATAAGGTTTCCTGTTTGGCAGCAGCCAAATTGGTCTCTCCTATACCTAATGTACCACCTGTTGCGCTCCAGCCTGGGTGAAAGAACAAGACCCTGTCTCAAAACAAACAAACCAAAAGTCCTTCTGTATTTGTCTTCCATATATTCTATTACATGACTTTTTCTGAGCATTTTTCTTTGATTTTCTCAACCAATTTGCTTTGTACTCATCTGATCTGAACCCGCCATCCTATCTAGGCCCTTGGTAGTTCAGTATTCCAATTTTCTATGCCTACAGTTTTGACCAACTCCTTCCTGTATGATTAGATTTTGATGGGGTACACAGCTCTCCGGCCCCTCCCCTAGCCCAGCATTGTTTCTCATGTCATCACAGTGGCTTTGTGGGTCTGCTGCACCCTTGTCCAAAGTAGCTCTCTCAGCCTCCTGCCATAGCACACAGGCTATTTCTTTAGGGGATGTTTTTCCTAATCAAAGCTACTCATTTTTAAACCTGCCAGTACATCCCTAATCCATCATTTTCAAACTTATGTAAATTATTTAATGAGTTGCAGCTCCTTTTAATTGTAAATGTTTCGATCAGACATTAATACAGCTATATATCTGTCCACTTTAGGCTGCCTGCCTAATACAAGGTACCAATATACTATAGAGAATATTGGTAATGTGGTATGTAGCTGAATCAAATATTAACCATTCAAAACCCTCACTTCCCCCTGCAAAAAGGAAAGAAAGTAGCTTTGATCTGCTTTTTAGCAAATAGCTATGGTGAAGTCATCAGTTATTAATATTTTTAAAAGCTTTGCCCAAGGACACACAACCACTAAGACATATTATTAGTAACATATTGAATAATTTAAAACATGTCAATAAAACTTGCCAATAAATGAATAAAACCCAGTTTAAGGAGCTTCTCCTTGAATTCTTTTTGAATTTTTAAGTTAAAAAGAGAAAGAAAATCACAACCCGGTGACCTAAGAGTCACACAATTAGACTGAAACATGATTTTAGCCACTTGTAAATTCCCTTCTTAATTTTCTTATGTCATTCAGCTCAATGGAGACTCTCAGGCAAAAGTACAGCGAATTCTACGATTGATTTCTGGTGGTGGATTGTCCATAACTGGATCACATATCTTGTGTGGAGACTTCCTCTTCAGTGGTCACACAGTTACGCTGACACTAACTTATTTGTTCATCAAAGAATGTAAGTAATAGCCCATTCCCACTGAACTGATAGCTGTAGTGTGAGGGATCCCCGGACCTGAAATTGATAGGAGCCCTTATTCTCTTGGGATTGATAAGCTGTGAAAGAGACAGATGTGTGTGTGTATGTGTGTGTGTATATTTATGTTTATATCATTTCAACTAGTTATATGTGATCTGAACCTGAAGGCTTAAAACCTGACCCTGGCTTCTCTCTAGTATTTAACATGCCTTTAAAACATCTCCCTTCTTGGTTAGTACTTCTTAAGGTATGAAAAGCTATCTTACTATTGGAACTAATTGTTGATTTTATTGCAAAAAGGATTGGTACTTTCTAAAGACAGATGTAATGACCTTTGAATTATTTGTATGACACTTCCATTCTAGCATTTGAAATAATTCAGTTATCATGTTCCCCTTTTTAAAACATTTCCATGTCCCACTTTATTCTAATTTCATCATCCTCCAGCACTTTTCTATGCTTTCATCGGAGTCTTCATGGACCATTTTGCTAATACCAATCATTTCCTTCTCAAGAAGAAATGTGGAGGCAAGAAATAAAAATCTCTTTCTATATTTATATGCTTAGTTCACATTATACAAAATCCTTGGGTTTTCTAGTAGGTTTTATGGCAGAAGTAATTCCTTGTTCTTTGTAGAGTTGTACTGTTTTAGCTGCCCAGTAGATCCCATTTTTATATATTTCCGAGGTTTTGTATATTTAGGCCTATCACCTCAAAATCCTTTTGAAGTAATAATGCTTCTTCCTTTGTGTTTGCAAAGCTGGTCAGTGTTACCCTTCATCTTTAGTTCCAAGTTACCTCATGCCAGTGTTTTTTAGAGGTTTATCTTAATCCTCTTCATTGACATATTTAAAAGGAGGTCTTTCAGCAGAGAGCAGCAGAAAACAGCTTCCCCTCCCCTGTCCTCCTTGTTTTTCTCTCCTCTCTCGTCCTTTGTTAATCCAAAGAGGAATATCCTAATTGAATGGTGGTGTGGAAGTCATGAATTATCTTCAGGGTGCAGAAGTGAATTATTGCCCCTTTGATTACCTGGGATATTCGGTTTAAGTTCTGCTTTGAGGGCAAAAGTTCTCTGTGGTAGATGAGATCAAGTCTTTTTTGTGAGAACTGTAGCATCTTTTTGTTCCGTACTTTGTAGATTCTACATACAGATCTGCAGTAGGGAAAGTTGTGGGATACGTGTGGGGTCTTCATCATACTTGACTTAAAAGCTGAAGGCTCTGCACCTTTTCCCTTATTTCTATCCTCACACTCTTAGGGTGGTGGGGTGGGACCTGGATCTGTCTCTGCACCATCATCAGAGGATGGTCTCTTTGTTAAATTTAGTCACTCCATTTCTAATGTTGAGTTATTGGTTCTGGGGGATTGAGCAGAATTATATATGTTGCTATGGTTCTAACTCGAACTTTTGCCAAGGAAAGTTCCGTCAGTATGCTATGTAAGATCAGTCGTTTTCTAGTCCAGATGTACACTTGAGTTTAGGATCTTCTCTCTAATCTGAAGATCACAAAAAACTTACAAAAGAAGATGGGGATGAGGGTGGAGGTGGGGGAAGAGGTGCACTTCAGCGTGAAGGCACTGTAGGTTTAAGGTAATAAAAACCACTCCCAGGAAACTGTGATTCAGTTTTCTAAAATAACTGAAAACCAACTGATATTAACTGTATTAGTCTGTTTTCATGCTGCTGATAAAGACATAACCAACACTGGGTAATTTATAAAGAAAAAGTGGTTTAATGGACTCACAGTTCCAAGTGGCTGAGGAGGCCTCACAATCATGGTGGACGGCAAAAGGCGCATCTTACATGGCAGCAGAAAAGAGAGAATGAGAACCAAGCAAAAGGGCTTTTCCCTTATAAAACCGTCAGATCTTGTGAGACTTACTCATTACCACAAGAACAGTATGGGGGAAACCACCCCCATGATTCGATTATCTCCCACCAGGGTCCTCCCATAACACATGGGAATTATGGGAGCTACAATTTAAGATAGATTTGGGTGGGGACGCAGCCAAACCACATCATCAACAATAATAACAAATAGACAATACTTACTCTTTCCCAGTCACTATTCTAGGGTCTTGATGTAAATTAGCTCATTTGATCCTTTCATTCACCCTCTGAGGGCTGTACTATTTTTTCCCATTTTCCAGATGAGAAAACTTAAGCATAAAGGAAGTGACTTGGCCACAGTGCACAGCCATCATTTGGAGAGGCAGGTATTCAGGTTGAAGCAAGCTGAATCCAGAGGTTTTGCTCTTAATTTCTTGGCTCTGTTGAGAACTTTGGATATTCAAGCTGGTTGGCTCTACTGTATTGCCAAGGAATAGTCTACTTATCTATAAGCAGGGACATTGCTCGTTAGTGTACATTCTTTCACCTCAGAGCAACAGCAAGGCAACTTGTGATTGATTTTGTACTTTAATGAAGGCCACACAGTATGTAGAGACTTTTTTTTCCCTAAGACATTATCTTGACGAGAGGTTTCTAAAATTGTGTAAATTTACATGCAGCATGCAAGGAATACCATTCTGCTTTCTCCAATATTTGGTGAGAAACAGAAGGGCAAATCTGTAATACTTAAACTCTGTTTTATAGCCAGTTCTGTATGTAAGTAGAACATTTCATGTTTCTGTCTGTTTTTTCTATATAATTAAGAAAAACATTTATCTTCTAAATTATACTGTATGTTCTTGTTCTGCGTAAGTAGCGGTTCCAGTGGTTTCTTTGAAAAGTCTGCTTCTAGAATTAGATGCATCATTTATATATTTTTTTTACTTTCCTGCCTTTTGATCAGTTTGGACTCTTTCCTTGTTTGCTCTCTTGTCATGAGTAGATTTAAATTTAGTTGTGACAGCACATGAAAATGTGGCACCAGGACCATTTGGGGATTAGCAAGGGAGTGCTTTGTACAGTCGTGCAAATATTATAATTAGCGCGTAGGTTCCTGATGAAATTAGCCAGGAGAAATCAGACTAGCTGTCAGTGCCAAACAACTGGCTAATAGAGAACAGATTTTTGGGTTTTTACCTGGTTACCCTACCAAGTCCATTGTCTCTAATATTTTATGACCCCTAGGGCTAGCATCCCACACAGACGGTGAAGTTAACTATTATTTGTGTTGTAGTCTGGCTCATTGTTAACCCTATGGGATGAATGAGAAAGTAAGAGTATTACCATTTTTCCTTCTCTATTTCAAAACAGCTTCTATTCAATCTTTTCTTTGGGCCAGCCAACGCTCTGTTAATGAGTGGTGAGCCCAGTGTGGTAGAGCATAATAGGAAATACATTTTTATGAGAAAGTACTGCTGGGGTTTCCAGCCATTCCTAAAATCTCACTTGCAGTCCCATGAGTAGGAAAATGAAGATTCAGGCCACCTCTGTACCTACTTCAGCTTGGCTTCTTGTGAATAAACAAATGCAAAATGGTTCTAGTTTGCCCAAACATTTTGAATTTCTAAAGTAAACACCAGATGACCTGTAAGTAGGGAAGCAGGGTTGCTAAGAGACCTTAGGGAAGGGTAGGGTCTGAGGTGCTGGAGAATGCATATTTTGTGAGCCCTCCAGATTTCTCAATGTCGTTCAATTTTTAACGTCCTAAGCCTAACATAACAGTTATGGAGACTGGATCTGGCCCCAAAGACTGCAAGAGTAAGGCCTCTCCCATTACAATTCTGAGATTCCATGAGTTGTCTGCCAGAACTTAGTGGCAGAATGAAGTAACTGACAAGTAATAAGGAATATATTCAAAATTAGAAAGTCAGATTTTTAAAGGCAATACAGTTTTATTTTCTTACTGTTCCATTTGGGACAAACAAAGAAAGCAACAGCTAATTTTAGCAAAAAAATCGTATCTGAATGATACCTGATTTGGTATTTCATTTAAAGTTCTGGAAATGGGCTGGGTGCAGTGGCCCATGCCTGTAATCCCAGCACTTTGGGAGGCCAAGGCAGGCAGGTCACCTGAGGTCAGGAGTTCAAGACCAGCCTGGCCAACATGGTGAAACCCTATCTCTACTAATAATACAAAATTAGCCAGGCATAATGGTGCACACCTGTAATCCCAGCTATTCGGGAGAATAAAGCAGGAGAATCATTTGAACCCAGGAGGCAGAAGTTGCAGTGAGCTGATATCACACCATTGCACTCCAGCATGGGTGACAGGAGTGAAACTCTGTCTCTAAATAAATAAATAAATAAAGTTCTGGAAATGGATCCTTTTGCTATTCAATCACCCTTCTACATGTGAAAGTAAATATCACTATGAATGTAAACATAGTTAAATACGAAATCAATTTCAGCTTATTGGACTTTTATTGTGAGCTAATACAGCTTTAAAATAAAACAGATCATCAAGTTATTAGAGATGAACTCTGGTTTCAATTATATTTGTCATTTAACACATCTGTGAGAAGAGGAGGACCATCATGTTTAAACCAGTGAGTGCCATAGTTGTCTCTTATAGCTGCTAAGTAGAATGAACTTTTAAGTGACCTTACTAGGAAGGCTGAGTCCGTAAGTGAATGGTCAGGAATCTTAACCTTTACAGAGGTAATGTTTTATAGTTGCTATTGGCAGTAACAGTATAAAATTGCTGAGAATCAAAATATTGCTAGCCACAGTGCCATTCCTTCTGACATGAACATGCTTACCCTACACATACTCCTGGAGAAATAATATAAATTTAGAACCTGAAATTACTCCTGCTTTCCGATTTCCACCCCCCTATTTTCATAGACAACCACCTCTCCTTTTGACCCCTACCATCTTTCTTTCCAGTGGGAAAGTGGCTCCTTTATGTGAGTCAGTATTCAGCAATTTCAACCAACCTAATAAGAAACAGTTCTGCTCCCTTTCTTATTAAACAGCTTATTCACATGGGCAAGGCCTAGAATGTTTAGTGTTACCAGCTTCCCCCGTGAATGACTATTACACTTGCTGCCAGGGAGCCCCTCTGCCTCCCTCCGACCTGAGCGGATCCTGGGCAATTCATAGTGACTCAGTTTAGGTTATCAGTTTTCTCCTTCTGGTGACTTCCTGATCCTGGGTTATTCTTCTTAAGGTCATTAGGACAGACTGCAGTCATTAAATTTATCTCTGGGAATCTTATTAACTCTAATTTTTCTACTGTCCAGATTCGCCTCGTCACTTCTGGTGGTATCATTTAATCTGCTGGCTGCTGAGTGCTGCCGGGATCATCTGCATTCTTGTAGCACATGAACACTACACTATTGATGTGATCATTGCTTATTATATCACAACACGGCTGTTTTGGTGGTACCACTCAATGGCCAATGAAAAGGTGAGAGCAGTGAAGATGCTTGGATACTTTCTTTTCTTTTAATGCAGTGGACCCTTTTTATGTTGTGCAGTTTTAGATAGCTTAATGGGGATAACTGATGTTGCCACTCAAATGTGTGGCTTAGGTCCATTCACTTAAACATATATCCATTAGGGTTTTTTAAAATAAAGCAAAGAACTTCACAAATGTAAATGCCATTTATGGATTAAAATGCCATAAGGTTATAGAGCACAGTGTGTTACTAATTCAGGTAATTTATACTAGAATTGAAGAAATATATGTACTAAATTAAAATTTAGGAAACTTCTCTGTAAAAGCATTGTAGTGCAGCTGAATAAGCCATAATTTCTGCCTTCAACTTAAATTCATTTTAAGGAGAAGGTAACATGTTTTTTTTTGTTGTTGTTGTTGTTGTTGTTGTTGTTGTTGTTGTTTTTTTGAGACAGAGTCTTGTTCTGTCACCCAGGCTAGAGTACAGTGGCACAATCTTGGCTCACGGCAATCTCCACTTCCCAGGTTCAAGCAATTCTTGTGCTTCAGTCTCCCAAATAGCTGGGATTACAGGTGCATGGCACCATGTCTGGCTAATTTTTATTTTGTATTTTTAGTAGAGATAGGGTTTCACCATGTTGGCCAGGCTTGTCTTGAACTCCTGACCTCAAGTGATCCTCCAGCCTTGGCCTCCGAAAGTGCTAGGATTACAGGCATGAGCCACTGCACCCAGCCAGTAACAGCTGTTTTTTTAAAAATCACACAAAATAAATAGCTTATGAATGACTGGATTTGGTATATCCTTGGTGATAATGGTGCTCTCTGGCTTCCCTTCTGATTCTTTCTCGTTTGCTCCTGCTGCTTTCTTGTTTCCAGATACCTTTTTCTTTCTTCTCCCATTCATACTTAAAGAGCTAGTTCAAATGCCACCTCTCCTGAGAAGCCTTCTCCAACTCTTGGTCTCTTCCTTGGTCCCAAGGCAGAATTATTCCTCCCCACCTCTGTTTTCTCCTAGTCTTGGTCTATATACCATGGCTTACTTATCTTTGAATAGACTTGCCATATTGTCAATTTGGAGAATTTGTGAGCAACTGATATATGGCATTTCCAAATCTACATCCAACTCTTGGTGTCCACTAATAAATGCTCTTTCTCTGGATTACTTTATTTCTCTTTGTAGCTCTGTTTCCTATTTTATAGTCTCCTATTTCCATCTTCCTCCTTACACTTCCATCTAGATGACGACTGACACCACTGAACCAAAACTTTTATCTTTCCTCTTAAATGTGTTCAACCTTCTGAGCTTTTCTTTCACTCCTTGACTTGCTTGGCACCTAGATTTGATCACTCACACATCCTGAAAATTACTCCTCCGGAATAATTTTGACATCCATTCCCTGAGTCTCCATTCTTACTAGAATTGCAGGCAGAAGAAATTGCATGAGCCACAAAGGAAGGAAAGACATCTAGGTGTGTTAGGGGACCAGAGTCATGATAGATTTAGGGAAAGGACATGAAAATCACTACTGCCATGTGATCTGAATTCTGGTTTTCCCTAGGATACAGTGAATGACAATTTAAGAAAATAATTACGCTGCAAATCAAGAAAGATATGACTCATTTTACTTTTTTGTCTACCGTTTGCAGAACTTGAAGGTCTCTTCACAGACTAATTTCTTATCTCGAGCATGGTGGTTCCCCATCTTTTATTTTTTTGAGAAAAACGTCCAAGGCTCAATTCCTTGCTGCTTCTCCTGGCCGCTGTCTTGGCCTCCTGGCTGCTTCAAATCATCATGCAAAAAGTATTCACGGGTTCAGAAGATTGGTGAAGACAATGAGAAATCTACCTGAGGAGCAAAACAAAGGCATCAGCTCTTACACCAAAAGAGTTAACGCTGTAACCAAAGGTATAGTTTTGTTTTTTATTTTAGGAGAACTGACTGGTAAATGAAGAAACGGACCAAATTTTGTGTAAATGATTAGAAGAATGAACAAAGTATTACCCTCTGACTGGTTTTCTTCTTCATCCTGAGAAAGATACATTCTCTTGCAGCTCTTCATTCATTGGTGACAAGCCCCCACCCTGGGACTTTACTAATGAGCTTGTTAAAGAGGTGCCAAAGAACATATTCCTCCTTTCTTTATTCTTTGTCCACTGAGACCCTCTGCTTCAGAATTTTTTCAGGATATTTTTCCTCTCAAGATCAGAAGAATGTGTTAATATTTTAAATAAAATATCTGGACATCTACAGCCACTGTGTAAATAGAACAACCTAATGTCGAGAGTGGTTTTTAGCGTTAGGTTTAGCAAGGGGGAGATCGGTGGGTTGTGCATCAGCTTTGGGTGAATTTTGTTTCTACCCTGTCATGGGGAAAGTTCGGATTGAGTCGGGAGTGCATACTGCTGCTGCCACCCCGTGTGCAGCACTTTAAATTTTTTTGTTTTCTTTTAACAGATCATTTTATCTTAAAAAGGAAAGATGATCCAAGTAAACATGAAAGCATTTGACACACCCCACAGATTTTACGTGTGTATAAATGTTTCACTTTAAAATCTCTATGACAGATACACAGGAAATAAGAGGTTGTTTCTGCTAATGACTGGCCGTTGAGTATACACATAGATGCTGTCTGCCTTGTAAATTTGGATCTGGTACCCCAGGGCGGTCAGTTCTTCTAGCACAGCTGAAAACATGTGTGTCAACTGAGGCTCATGCCACGTGGGAAATGAGCCTCTTTCCCTTCCAGGTCAGGCCTTGGTGTGAGATCAATTTTAGGGCTCCTAATTGGAGTGCAGAAATATATTTCGTCATGATTTCTTCCTTTTTATGGTTGTGGTTTATGGAAAAACCAAGATGGAACCTGAAAGTTAACGTGTCCTTGCTTTTAGCAAGAGACTCAGCTTCTCATAAACTAGTACTAGGGACATATGCCACAATTTAGTAATTTTACCCTGTGAAAATGATAACATGGTGCTGCACTATAATATACCCTCAGAATCAGTGTGTGACAGCTACACAGTAAAGGGGGATAACTGTTTCTAAATTTCTCTAAGGTGATGCCAAAAAATAGATTTTAAAACATTGATCAGATTTATGTTATCAGATTTAGTGCATTATTTAATGCTATTGGATCTTTTGAACAATTCCTGGCTTCATTTCTTAACTACTGGAAGGTCAATTTGCAAGACTTCTAGAAACCTTAGAAAGTTTTAAGGTTACAAAATTATTAACACTGGCAGAGGGTAGAGAGGCCAGTGCAGGCAGAAGGAGGCAGTATGTTTATATTGAAGGTGAAATTTTTCTTTCATTTAGAATGGAAAACATCCCCAAATTTATCATTATAAACCAGTCAGCCTTTATTACACAAAATTGACCTTTAAATTGCTTGTGAAAAGCACAATACAAATCGTTCAGAAGGGTCAGCATCCTTTGGTGCTAAAATCCTGTGTATGTTTTCAGAATGGCTTTTTCTGTGTGTCATAGAATAGTCACTAAAAAAAAAATAGTTGAATTTAAAGTCATGAAGCAAGACTCTTTAATTCTGTTATTTTAAACAAGAATTAAAACTCCAAACATCATTGGCAGGCTTTGAAGCACAAGGAATTTTCTAGTATTTCTTATTAAATACACCAATAATAAACACATATCTAGTTTACCTGATGAGTTTAGACATAATTCTATATAATGTTCACTTATGTTCATTTATTAAATAGCAATACTTGTGCGAGAACAAGGTGTTCTGCTTGAAAACACTGATTTTTAAGTTCCTGTTACCCAATGATGAGGAAAATCATCTGACACAGAAGCCTGGGTTTTGCTCTCTGAATGTTAGTATTTTCATTGAGCCTCTAATTCAAATAAAACAACCTGATACACCTTAGAGCCTTATTCAGCTGTGTCTGGATAACCCACTTTTCTTCTACTGAATAAGGAAAAGTGTTTAAACTTAACTTTAAAAACCCATTGTGTACCAATTACTACACACCATTGAAACCGTAAGCCTTGTATTTTAGTCAAGTAATCCAGTTTTTTAATTTAAAAAATCACCTTTTAAAGAACTTTAAAGACACCTATGATGCCAGCGTGAACAATGCTGCTGCTATGTCATTGAAATCCATGGTTTGAAAATAAGGGTGAAGGAGTCAATATTTCAAGATGGGGAAACATAAAATAAATAGTAAAACCCATTTACATGCAGGAAAGCACACTTGAGCTTCAACCCAGCGTGCCACTTTGGGATATGAAACAAGTATGATCTTGCCTTTGAAATGGTAAATGTTTGGAGCACCTGTTCTTTGCCAGTTAAGATACATATTATCCTTGTTTTTTCTGAGTCTGTGCTCCTGTTTGAAGCTTTTCCTGTAATTTAGGTTGTCTGAGAAATACATATAATATGTAATTCCTATAGAGTATACCACATTTTTTTGTAAACGCTTTCAAATGAAGATCCTTCAGATTCTACTTTTTGCACTCCTCCACTAGATCTGAAAATAAAGCATCCTTCCCTGAGTCCACTTGAACTAATTGTGAATTTGTTACTTAATTTACTGGCATCTTGGGAAACAAGTTTTGCTGTGGAAGGAAGGCTGTTTTGAGAATGAGCATCGAGTCTACTCTGGTTTGTGGGTGACCCTGCATTCGGGTTCGTTGCTGTATTACCAGTGACCCCTTGTGGCAATACACTCTATAACTTGGAATGTAAACCACTTTTAAAATGTATTTTCAAGTTTTTAAAAGGCATTTGATTTTTGTTATGTTTGCTAATAATCTGAAAATTTCATGTGAAATGAATTATTTTAAAAGAATTTTAAACCTTTCCCAAAGGTAAAATATGCTCAGATTATCTAAGGATTTGTAATTCTAACCTTTTATCCATTTGATCAAGGAAAATTTGTAGAAGATTTTTACCTCTCATGATCACAATCATTACTGTCTCCCTTTATAACTACCTATATTTTGTTTACTTTGAAACACCAAATCTGTTGTCTTGGTTGTTTTTTGTTTTTTTGTTTTTTTTTTACATGATAGAACTCATGCAGTTTTCTTTTTTAATTAAAAGTTCACATCTTGCCCCTCAAATAGTTTGACCATTTCTTTCTTAATTCTTTTTTGTTTTTGTTTTGCACTGTAAAACTGATTAAAACTTTAAGCCAGTCTTAACACACTAGCATCTGTAGTGTAAGGAATTGTAAGAAGGAATCTCTTAATAAATGAGTTTAAATGTTTAAATCAAGCATATTATAAGTTATATGTCATGTGTTGAAGGCTTTTTTCTATTAATATATGTAAAGATTTTTGGTATTTTTGTTTTAAGTGTCCTTGTGTTGCAATAATTTAACTCCTTTAACTCAGTTGCTAAAAATATTTCTTCTATTAAGAAGTGCTCTTGACTTCAACACCCAAACACTGAAAATCATGTCAATGGTACCCAAAGATAACTTTTTATACAGATATTCACCTTATAAGTTCTGATATATTTTATTACTCATTAATATATGCTGTGTTCTAAATAAATCATGAATGAGCAGAGTGCTTTATTGTGGAATTATTTAAAAACTGTCCTTTAAAAGAAAAAGAGGAAACTATGAATACAAACTAATTTAGTTGCCAAGTTGGAATTCATTATTTAATTTGCTTCCTATGCAATGATTAATGCTGCAAAATGTATGGTTATGTTACCGTATATTCACAAAAGAAATATTGTTACAAGATTTGAGAGGTAGCCAATTGCATTCTTTTGGAAATTTACTGTACTGTTTCCATGTGTTAAGTGCCTTGTTGTAAAGTAAAATTTTAAGTCTAGAATTCATTATTTTCCTGACATATATTTTTCATTATGATATCTACTGTATGCTATTGTGATAGTTTTATGAAATGCTTACATTTAAATCAAATATGTAAATTTCAGAAGCTCTTTTCTCCTGCCCACCAGTACCTTAATCATTGGTTTATCATATTGTATTTGAATTCAGGTTCCTTTTCTGATAAGGAGGAAATTTGTTTTTCATGCTTGTGATTTTGTGTTTGTAAACATTTCAGGAGGAATTTAGGAGTGTAACTATAGTTTATACTTCTAAAATGTTATCTTACATTTACATTTTTAAGTGCCTAATTGTTAAAACTCAGTTATGTTTCTCTTCTAAAGAGGATATGTGTACTTGGTTTATAATCTCTTTGGTTTTGCTTTTAAAAAAATGCAAGAGCCTATACTTTGTATTTACCTAATAAACCACAGTGACATCAACAGTCTTTTCAAAATTAGCATTACTGTTTCTTTCCATTTACAAAATGTATCATTTTTAAAAGAGGTGTAGTTTTAGAGTACTTGTTAAAGTTGCAAAAGGGATATTTAAGCAGTATTTTGAAAATAATAACCTTCAGTTAATGGATTTAAGGTGAAAATAATTCAGAACGATACAAGGTCATTCATGGAGAAGAAAATAATCACTTACACACGATGTTGATTTTCATTGTTCACAGTAGGACAACGTTACTCATGAAAAGCAGACCCCTTTCTGTCACTCAGTCTTCTCGTGCCTTCACAAGGCAGAAGCCTAGGGTAATGTCCTCAACTGGAGTTTACTAGACATTGCAACAGCAGGATGCAGTAAGTTGGTTTTGGACCTGCTGATGACAAATTCCCCTCCCCCAAGATAAATTTTGTAAAAGCAATTCAGTGGGGTGAATAGGATAAGATAATAAGGCTCAAAGAGTAAGTTACAGGAGATAGTCCATGCTTTATCCCTTGGATTATCTAGAAATGAGACAGCATAGATCAGAATAGTTTTTCTGCCACTCCACTCAGATCTTGGATGAAAAGCTCATCACAGTGATGTTCTCATCATCCTGTGGAAACACTGGCATGCTGATTTTGCTGGCCATATGGCTTCAAAGGCTGCCCTTATCTAGAACGCATGGTGCAAGAAACTAACATGAACTCTTGTTTATTATGCAAGGGACTAACAGGAACTTTTACTAATGGACTAATTCATTCTGGGTTCCATTTGTTTTCTTCATAGAAAAGCTCTTGAGTGTGCCTCCTATGAGAGGATAAAACTCTCTGGGCATTTAAAGTGCTGTGGATAGTGAAGTCTTTTAAAGTAGTAACTGTCTCTTACTCCAATAAGGAATCAAGAGGAACTTTACAACTGTAGTTTAAAGTGGCATTTTCAATCACCCTAATCATGGGCAAATTTCTTAAGTAACAAAACTGCTTAAATGAAAAGAATGATTATTCATGCTTGGTTTGAGACCTCTACCTCACAGCTGTTGATTTTAGAATCTGAGTGTAGCGGTGTGTCCAGGTTTTGCCACCAGGATTAGATTCACGAGTTTCACTATAAAGTGAATTTAAATCTGTTTACTTCAACCCCCGATCCCATCCCCACCACATTTAAAGATAGAAAAGTGTCATCTATATGCCTATTTAACCACGGACTCAGCTTCAAGTCTGTAAGGTTTGTTGATTGTAGGTCATTACAGCCTTGGCCCCGGGTAAAGAAATTCAATTGTATAAAATATATGCAAGTCTTATAAAATGTTTGTAAGTTTTAGGAAATATTGGTCAGGGCCTTCATAGCCAGCTAGATATTCCAGAAGTAGAAGTGAATTATTTTTCTGAATGCTTTGTCACTGAATGTTACCATTCTTTTCTATTTAATATTTTAGCAAAATCACAAAAGACATCAAATTTTATCTCATCCAAAGGTTGGGAGTGGTAATGTGTGTCATGGGCCCTGAGCATCCATCTAGCACATTTTTTGCTGGGCATGCTGAGTGCAAGGCCCATACTCCTGTTACCCAGGCCATTTCTCAGGATTGTGTTTGCAGAAAGCAGTGTTAAGAAATCTGGTAGCATATCACCCTGAATAAAGAGAAGGGGTTTTTTTCCTGTTTACTCTAAAGCAGTAAAAACACCAAGCTCAGTGGTCCTCAGCTGAGGTGCCAACCCACTGAATATGTAGCATCTGCCTTGTCTTGATGTCTCCAAGCCATCCCCTTGGGATTTGAGAGACAAGGGAACCAAAGGGACCACGCTGACACTTTGGCTACAGCTGTGCTATGAGTAGTGAAGTCCTTTGTCTCTGACTCTGGACTCTTGTGTCTTCTCCCAGCATCCAAGGAAAGACCATCCATGTGGGCTTGTAAGTCAAGTCATAGATGCTTCCCAAACTGACATGTAAATTCTATTTTCTTCTAATGTATAAGAATATCAGAAGTGTAACACTGTATTACTAATATAAGTTAGGATAGTAATGAATTATGTACTACTATGCATGTGTATGTAGAGATATATAATGCACATTTAATTCATATGTGGCACCTGTAATCAAACATAACATTTTACAGTTAACACTTGACATTCTTTAATCTTCACAAAACCCTATGAAATAAGCAAGGCAAGAGAAGGTGACCCCATTTTATGAGATGAATGGGTTCCTAAATGGTAGAGCTAGAAGTTGAGTTTTGTTATTGTGGGCTATTGCTTGCTGCCTCCCTGTCATAATCACTGTGGTCACCATCAGTTTTGTTAGGGTTTTGTTATTTTTAAAATAAAGGTCATGGTCTTTATTCCCTTATCAGGAAATTAGTTTCAGAAGCAAACTGTCCTTGGAACAGGTTCTTTGTCACATGCTACAGATTTTTCTTAAAATTGCAATTTACTAAATTTCAAAGGGAGAAAAGTTGGCTTCTAGTACAAAATGACCTTGAAGGCGAAAGAATCCTCACGTGTCTGAGTCCACAAGTTTGTTAGAATAAAGCAAACACACTGTTAATGAGTTTTAATGTCTTATGCCTAAGATTATGCTTCTAAAGCCCCCACTCTGCCAGCCTTTCCCACATTGTGTACACTAATCAGACACTTGAATTGTTTTGCCATAATCTCTCCAGAAACTTCCAGAAAAGTGAATAATGAATTGCTAGTGTGGAGATGTCTTTTTTAAGAGAAAATTTCATTCTATGATGCCATTGACTATGGGATTAAGAGTGATCCTGTTATGCCAGTCCCAAGTATTAGGTTGGTGTAAGAGTAATTTCGGTTTTTGCCATTGCTTTTAATTTCAAAAACTGCAGTTACTTTTGCACCAACCTAATAACTATAGCTGATCAATCACAGTGGCACAATATGTTTAGTAACATCCTGTACTACCAACAAAGTTACCAGTGAAAAGTATTTCACCAATAACTAGTGAGGTGATTTTCTAATAACCTGCCTCTATGTGGGAGACAATATCAGAGTTTGGGCAGTTCTCAGAGCATTTTGAGATTAAATTATACTAGAGTTCAGTTCAAAAACAAACATAACTGTTCAATGTTGTTTTGCTGTATAGCAGTCTATCCAAAAGAAGTGGTGACAAGTCTTCTCCTGGAGCTATTTAAAATGAAATTGCCTAAACTGAAAAAAAAATCAAAAATATGTGGAAATTAACCAACACACTTAACAGTGGAACAAAGAAGAAACTGCAAGGGAAATTTGAAAATAATTTGAGACAAATAACAAAAATACAGCATACCAGAAAACTACGAGATTCAGCAAAAACAGCACTGAATGAAATGTATAGCTGTAAATGCATACGTTTTAGAAAAGAAGAAATCAATAATGTAACTTTAGATCTTAAGGGACTTGAAAAAGAAGACCAAATAAAATCCAAAGTTAGCAGGAGGAAGGAAATAATAAAGACAAGAGCAGAGATAAATAGAGAATAGAAAAACAACAGAGAAATCAATGAAATGAAAGTTTGTTCTTTGTAAAGAGCAAGGGAATTGACAAACCTTTAGCTAGATTGCTTAAGAGGAAAAGGCGGCTCAAATTACTAAAATCAGAAATGAAAATGGAGATATTACTACTGATTATACAGAAATAGGACTATAAGATTACAATGAACAAATGTACACAAAACCTACGGGTAGTGAATCATGAAGCAATAGAAAATCTAAATAGACCTCTAATTAGCAAGGAGGTAGAATGGGTAATCAGAAACTTTTCAACACACAAAAACCCTGAAACTTGACTTTGTTGGTGAATTCTACTAAACATTTAAGGAAAAAGTAGCCAGACATGGTTGGGACCTGTAATCCCAACTCTTTGGGAGGCTAAGGTGGATGGATCACTTGAGCCCAGGAGTTTGAAACTAGGCTGGGCAACATAACAAAACCCCATCTCTAAAAAAAAAAAAAAAAAAAAAAAAAAAAAAAAAAAAAAACTGGGCGTGGTGGCACGTGCCTGTGGTTCCAGCTACTTGGGCACAAAGGAGAGGACTGTTTGAACCTGGGAAGTTAAGGCTGCAGTGAGCTATGATCACACCACTGCACTCCTGCCTGGGCAACAGAGCAAGACCCTCTCTCAAAAAGAAATAAATAATACAAATCCTCAAACTTTTCCAGAAAGAGGAACACTTCCTAATTCAGTCTATGAAGCCAGAATTGTCACCACTACCAAGGCCAGACAAAAACACTACCAAAAAAAGAAAAAAAAAAAAATTCAGACTAATATCCCTTATAAACATTGGCATGAAATCTTCAACAAACTACTAGCCAACTGAATTCAGCAGCATATCAAAAGGGATATATAACAAGACCAAATGAGATTTATTCCTGAAATGTAAGGATGGTTTAACATGAAAATCAATCAACATAATACACTATATTAACTGAATGTTGGGTAAAAAGGACATGATCATTTCAATTGATGCAGAAAACGCATTTTACAAAATTCAAAATTCTTTCATGATAAAACTAAACAAACTAGGAATAAAAGGAAGTTAACATAAGCAAGTTATAAAAAGCCAGCTAACATCATGCTCAGTGGTGACTGAAAGCTTTTCCTCTAAAAGGGAAATGTTAAGAATGATCAGGAACAAGTGAAGAATGCTCAGTTCTCCACTTCCATTCAACATAGTATTGGAAGTTCTTGCCAGAGCAATTAAGCAACAAAAAGAAATAAGAGGCATTGAAATTAGAAAGGAAGAAGAAAAATTAACTATCCGTATATGACATGATCTTATATGTAGAAAAATAAAAATTCAACAGAAAAACTTGTTTAGATTTCAAATCATGAGTCTGAATGAAAAATGAAAAGTTAAAAATTTTTAAACTGTTGTATCTAATGAATGTATTCAGCATATCTGCAGACAAAGCAATTGTTTCTATACACTAAAAATGAACAGTCTGAAAAGGAAATTAAGAAAACAATTCTGTTCATAATGGCATCAAAAGAATAAAGTACTTTGGAATCAGTTTAACTAAGGAGGCAAAAGACT